TATCGAATACATATGTAATCGATAATCACTGTTTAGGCGGCCTATCATTAGCGAAATTCATTAATTTATTTACACATTAAATTATTTAAAACAAAATTACTGAGCCAAACCCAAAGTCCCGGAATCAAAATTCAAGAGGTGTATGATCGAATTCTAAGTGCTGGATTCGTAGAGCTTGTCGTTGAAGCGTGTCAGAGTTTTTCTTTTAAATATTATGGACGACAGGAGAGACTCGATTCGTATTAATAACCTCCTTTTAATTTAAATTAACACATAAAAACAGAGATAGGATATTTAAAACAACATAATAAGAAAACATACGAGTATTATGATTATTCGACAAATGTGATCTGGTAACACGGCGTAAATTGTACATAAGAAAAGTATATAAAACCAAATTAATTTTAAGTCATGATAAATTTATGGGACCCTATCACAATTTAATTTAATTTTTTTTTTTTTGTAAACAATGATTACATATTTTATTTTCTATATTTTCTTGTCATTTTTGTTTTCAAGAAACCTCATAAAACCCACAAAATAAAAAATAAAAAATAAGTATGTACTTATAGTTATATGTAATTATTTTTTTCATATTGTAGAACAGAAAACAAGCACACAATATTTAAGTTAAATTGTTTTTCTTTCGACATACACAGAGATTACACAATCTCGCACAATAATAATAAGTAACAAAACTCAGCTGATGTGCAACCACAGAGAAAATTATTATGGAGACAAAAAAAAAATAAAAGAAACAAAGTAACAAAAAAAACAACAAAAGCAGCACAACAAACAAACAAACAAAGAAGACAAAATAATGTTGATTATTGACACAATCGTTTTACATTTATTTTCCCGCCACTGCCCCTCCATCAATCCCTTAAAAAAAATTTTTATTTTTTAAAATCAATTTCAACTACAATTTACAATATTAACATGCCTCTACTTGTTATATATACTTAAAGTATTTAAATTTTTATTGAATTTAAGTTAATTTTATTTAATAATTTATTACTTTGTTTGATAGAATTTCAAAAAAAGAAATAAAATAAAAATCAATTTTAATATCAAATTACTTACGAAATCAATTGTAATTCGAGTATAACATTTTATGCGCAAACATTATTGAGAAAGCAAGAAATTTGAAAATACAAAAACTTTTTAATTATTTCGTAATCCGAATATGAGTGAGTAGACTTCGGAAAAATGCGAACATTGAAAAAAATAGAGTAAAAGTTTAAGAGAAACAATCTTAAAGATTAAATTGAAGAGAACCTGATGTTAGGAGCATCATAAATTTCTCGAAAATTTTGACAATTTGCTAATCACACTTTAAACTTTTAATGTATCTGACTTTGACATCAGCAAATATACTATTGAAATATTTATTATCGAAAGGCTGCAGATTGCAGAATTCTTGAGTCAAAATTTCAAAAAATCCTATATTATTATCGATAGAGATACGTTCACATATACCAGAATATTTTCATTTCATAAATGTAGAATAGGAAATACTTGGTTCACTATTATAAAGCTGACATTTATACGTTCATTAAAATAAGAAAAATGAGAATCTCAATTAAATTTATTTCAATAAAAGATGACACTTACTTATTCTTATTATATTTTACTTTGGTTTAATTAACTTTCCCCCTCCCCTCAAGTATTTTGCACTTTTATTCCTTACAAAGCTTACAATTTTTATTGTATAACAATTTACAATTTTAAGTAAATAAAAGAAAAAAATCTTTACAACATTTTTTTTTTATACAGTAGCTTGATAGTATAACAAATAAGTAATAATATTATTAATAAGGGACTTAAAAAAAAAAAAAATTGCTGTAAAAGAAAATCTTAAATGAAAGTGGAATAAAAGTATATACATACATATATAAGTACATCACGTAAATATTTATAAATTGTACAACGGGATTAATATTATATGAAAATGTATAATAAACAAACAAGAATACAAAAAAGAAAATACTTCAGAAATTCAACCTGAATTTGAACCTGATAACATTTTTTGAGAAATTTATATTTTCATGCAAGTTTTGTAGTTGCTAAATTTATAACGGGTCTGAATGTAAGACTAATTATGAATTTCGCCGCAATAGTTCATACTACTTTATATATAAAATAAAATGGCCATCTATTGGAATAAATTTTCAAACTAACTACACTGCTTTAGGTTGACTAAAAATATTACACTCATTTGGAACGTAAAATTCTCTTTATGAAAGGAACGCAAATATCTGTTATTTTAATTTACATTATGTAGTTAAGCATGTCAATATTTGATTTCGAAAATAAACACCAGGTTCTGAATATTTAAGCTACAACAATGATATAAAATATGATATAATTATTTTTTTAGAAACCTTTATAAAGTCAATAATAATTTTATACAAGTTTGACAAACAAAATTAAGCCTAATCCTGACGTGGACATTATTGTATAAAAAAAAATGTCACATTAGTGATGCTAGCAACAAGTTAATTATTACTTTTCTGTTACAATTCTACATGTACATATGTACTGCTCAAAATAAATTTCATTTATTATCTTCCTTTTCAATTATATACAAATATATTGGCATTAGTCTCATATTCATAATTTGATGCTTGATTATTTGCAACAAGTAAATCAATAAATTATATTTGTACAAACTTTTACACACATTTAACAACACAAGCACATACATACGAAATTGAAAATAAATTAAAGAAATGATTTTTCATTTTTATACTTTGTTCTTAATATAAATTTTAAGCTGTAGTTATATATTTCTATAACACTCTGTATGTATGTATGTATGTATATAGTTGCTATATATAAGTAGCTTAATTTCAAAATCGATCTCTGTGGTCATATCTTGTTATTTTTATGAAATACCTACATAATATTACAAAAATCATGAACAATAACGGAATAAATAATAAGTAAAAAAAAAATAATCATCCTTCCATTTCAATACATTATTCTAGTTGATTCAATGGCGTGTGACAAGATCGACGAAGGAAATAATATCGAAACGAAAAATATAAGTGTAGTACAATTGCACAAAAATTATAAATTTTAGACTGATTGAGTTATTAAAAAAAATGTAACATGCCGAATTTTCAATGAGATTGAAATTTTGCAGTAAACGTACTGCATTTGGATTGAATTTCGTTAAATTCAATCCAATATACATAAAGAATATGTACGACAGTTATAAATTTAATTTTATTTTTAATAATTATTATTTAAATTCGGCGTTTCCTACCCCAGTCTTCATTACAAGATTTCATTTCTCTTATTTTTAACAGGAATACATTTTTGTTGTTCGTATAAAGGAATATTTTCTTGTTTATTATTTGCGCTTCTCCTTCGCTTGCATGTTACATTTTTTTTTTTACTTATTTTCTTCTACTTTATTGGTTCATGTTTCTTTTTACAATATTAACCACATTTTGTATAGTTAAAAAAATCACATAAACACAAACATAAAACTAACTACCTTAAAATATACTCCCGTAATTTGAAAAAAACAAATAAAATAAAATTTTACCGGTATTTTGTAACGGGATTTGAAAGTAAAAAAAAAATAAACCGGAATTTTTTTTTACAGGTAATAGAAGGCATTTGCTAAAAAAATAAGAACAGAATAATGAAAAGCAAACAAAATAAAAATAAGAAATTTAAAAAGAAAGAAAAAGTAGCACGAAATTTAAACGAGAATTGAAAATGGAAAAGTTGAAAAGAAAGAATTTGCTTGTTTATTTTAGAAATACAAAAAAAAACAGAAATAAAAAAATGTAAAAAATTATGTACGTTGTGTGTACATGTTAAAATACACACATAACGCACATACAAAACATTATATTTAAATTTAAAATACATATGTATTTAAATACTTCATTACAGCGTATCCAGCACACATAAGTAGTAGAAATGTGACATGTGCCATAGTTGAACTATATTTAAAGTATATCACTGTATATACATTTATACATCATAATATTTACATATGTATATAATATGCATAAGCAGTTGTGTACATGGCAAAATGTGATATAAATTCTATGCTACATAACTGTTATTTAAGTTTTTATAAATTGATTTTAGAATTAACTAAAAGAAAAAAACATTTAAAATAAACAGAAAATAAGGAAAAGATATTGGAAATCAGCGATTTATTTAGAATATTTAGAGCAGTTATTGAAAAAGTTGCAGAATTAAGAAGATAAATTTTATGATTCTCATTTTTTACGTATTTTACACCCATTATTTTTTCTACTTTTCATAGTTTTTAATAATTTTCATGTATGCAAATAATATTTTACGTTCGGATATAACTAATAATATAGAAGAGTATATTCAATTTGTCAATACGTAACACCGAGAAGTGTGAATTGTTCGTTCCTCTGTACAACTTATTAAACATACATATACCAATAGAATATTACGAATGAGAAAAGGAATGTTCCCTAAATATTTTATTTACTTACTAACTATGTGTTAAATAATAGCTAATAAATACTTATACATATCTATATTGATACAAGATGAAATATATTTATCCATATTTGAAAATCACATTCTTTTGCTAAATTATACTTAAATGAGTTAATTATTTGAAAGGTTTGTTAAAATTAAGGAACAATATCACATATAAATGATAAATGTTTCGTCATGAAATCACATTTAAATCTTCTCATTCTCCTATCCTCTTTGAATTCATAAAAAAGAATTGATTTAAGAAATGTATCGTGGATTAACAAGATGTGCTGGTAGATACATACGTGCTGGACTAAATGTATGCTTTTTAACAGGAAAGTTAAGAAATTGTTTAGCATTATTATAAGACATAATCAATCAGAATTTGTTCATTATAATTTGTACATATGTTAATACTATTATCAGTGTAATTTTCTTAGAATTTGTTAAATTCAACTTTATAGCAAAATTAAAGTTTTCCGGATGAAAAAATTATAAAATTATGTTACTCTCACCTGTCTTTCTGTTTTAGTATGTTCTGCAGTCTTCTTTTTTTGAACAATTGCAGCTTTTTTCAAAACTTTCATTGCATATAATTTTCCACAATCAGTCCCAGTTTTCTTTCTCACTAAGTATACTTTACCATAAGCTAAAATGAAAAAGGAAGCATAATTAGTAAAAAAAATTTAATAATTATTATTTTAAAAACAAATTTTCTTAAATTTATTCTAGATTTACTAAAAATATACATATTTAACAATTTCACACTAATTATTTCCGATTACACGAATTGAATTTCAATATTTTTGAAATTCCAATTTCTATTTCTAAAATCTCAACATCTTCGGCACAATATGTATTGCAAGACCATCAAATTTATTTTAAATTTGTAGCTTCTTAAATCTTTAAATTTGTTAAAATTTTTAAAAGTTAATTTTTAATGAAATTTTAAAAATAATATTGGTAGGTATGTTAGTTAAGAATTAAAATTTAAGACGTCATTATTTTATAATTTATTCTGTCAATTCTGAATTTTCAAATTATTGACAATTGATTCCGTATACTTATGTAATAATAGTGTAAGACACAAACCACATAATAAATTTATAATTTTTTGATTCGAAATTTAATGACATACAAATGTAGAAATTTTTAAATAAATTTATTGTAATTTGGGATAATTAAGTATTGAAAGAAAATTTCAAAAAATTCTCAAAAATTAATGGAAAATTATTATTTAATTAACCTCTATTAGTATTCAATATTTTATAGAGTTAATACTGTTGAATTCCAGTTTTATTGATTTGTAATAATCTAGAATCATCTTTTAGTTTTCCAATGATTACCTACAAGAATGATTATCTACCAATGATTACTGATTACTCAATTCCTTTTTTTTATTCAATTATAATCCTAATTTCATTTTTATAATCTATGACAATTTTTTGACTGAAAATTTATTACTCTTGTTTATTTTTGATACTTGAGTGACAATTTAGAGCAAAACTTTTTTTTAGACAAGTACATGTAAGTACGAGTAGGTACAATTTACATAAAACACAATTTTCAATATTTTTCTTTTAATATACTTTTTAGTTTTTGAAACTTTTTTTTTCTTTTGTAACATTTCACTTTATACAGTAGCAGGTAACCTACTTATTTTTATTCATTTTAACCTATATTTTATCTTTTATATACATCAAATTTATATCTTGAAATAAGTATAGTTACTTTTTTTTTTGGATATTTATTTTGAGTACTACTTAATTGATTTGCTCCATAACAAAATGTAAAATGAAAAGGAAAATTAAAAACAAAAAAAAAAACAAAAATTCAATTTACATTGTTTTTTTAAATAAATCGATTTTGATAGCCTTGGCTTGTCATTTAAAATTATGTTGTACACATCTAAAATAAAACAACAACAACAATTTATATAAGATCGCCTTTCAATTTTTAATTGAATATAATGGTAGAGTATAGTAAAGAATTTTTTTTTCTCTCTTTTTAGTTTCTTCTTATACCTTTCATCATAAAATTAAATATGAAAACCTTTTTTTTCAATAAATGGTATACAAAATATTGATGTAAAAAAGGACGACATTTACAAAAACAAAAAAGGAACACAGTTTGCAATCAATTGAAAAAAAAGCGACGACGACGAGAACGACGACAATATAAAAAAAAATTATTGTTAAAAAAGTTATTATTATTATTATTGGCAATGCACAATAATAAAAGGACAATAATAAAATAATTGAAATTTATTGTGTGGGTTTTGTAAGAGGGGGGACGACTTTTAGAATAATTTATTTGAAAAAGAGTTTTTTTGATCAATAATAGAAAAATATTACAAAAACTAATTTGAAAATTTACTTCAATCGTAAAATAGTTAAAATATAGTTAAAAAATAATAAAAAAAAAATTAATTTATTGGAATAAAATTTTTTTATAATTAATTACATCATTTTTGTCTTGTAAATACTCAAGAATATTTCAAATACTTAACATTACGTTCAAAAAGCTGTCATATTAATGTGAATTTTGTATTAAAATAAAGCATTCACACGAAAGAGTACTTATGTCAATGTATACCACTGTGACGTAGGTCAAATTTTTTTTAGCACGAATTTTAAATTAATTTACACGAATAAAATGTTGACTGTGCAACAAAAAAAAAATTAACTGTTCTTTTACTATGGGTTTGACATTTGAAAAAAATTGACGTATTTTAAAAAAATATCAATTTATTCGTGTAATTGCATGCCAGGACTCACTCAATTCCATCTAACTCATCGCCTACAGTAAGTTGCAAAATTTTTTCAAAATAACAATAAACATTAGTCAGAAATTCATATTAAATACTTTTCGAACATATTTTAAAATTATGTAGTAAATTTCTCCTACAATTTGAACATCCTTTAATAAAGATACTTATGTCATAAAAATTTCATATGAAGGAGAGTTTTTTTTTCATGAAATTAAACTAAAACAAAATAATTAATCTCCGAGTTTTCTAAATAGCAAAAATATTGTATTGTCGAATACATCTAAAATTCGTAAAAGTACCACAGGTAATTTTGAACTCGAGAATGTTTACACTTAATTGTTTAGCTCAATTTAAAATTTGTCAACTTCTAAACTAAGATGTCGATTGAAAAAAAGTAAAACAATATTTTATACATGCTTAATTTTAGAAAAAAATTTATTCAATTTTTAATATACAATAAAAAAAAATGCATTTATGTTTAAGAATTTTTTTATTTCGTCTACTAGATCATCTGAAAAATATTCGGTTACAAACTGAATAAACACAATAAAAATAAATTTTTCATATTTATTTATTCAAGTTTATTAAATATGAAAATTTCAAAACAAAAATATTTCTGGGAGGAGAGAACTTTGAAGAAATACAGACAACTTTGTAAGCCATCAAATTGTATGTATGTGTACATTGTATAAAAAATGAAGGAACAAACATTTTACTCTTGTACAAAAATTTTAACAAAAGTTCAAAAAATTTTAAACAATTTTTATTTTTTATTCTTTTATTTTTTCTTTTATTTCAATTTGGATAAATGTCAGTCATAATTTTTGTAAATTTTTTTTTCTTGTATTTGTATTTAAAATTAATAACCAAAAATTAGTCAAAGTTTACAAGAAGAACAATAAAAGAAAAAAATACAAAAATTTCAGCAAGGTTATAATTAAAAACATGACAAGAAGTTAAAAAAAAAAATAAAAATAAGAAGAAAAAAATATGAAAAAGTTTATAGACAAACTAAATGTTTGAACCGTTCAACTAAATGGTCTTTATTTTAAGTGTGCAAGCATAAAAATTACTCGAATACAGCGACAATCAAAAATTATTCAAAATTGCTAAAAAAAAACAGATTAAAATTCACAAAGGTTAAAAATTTTTTGAAAAGAATTCACAATTTTGAAGAATTATTGTGAAAAGTTCACAATATTTAACTCTAGATATTTTAAATGATGATTTGCAAATTGTTCAGGAGAGGAAATCAAAGATAGAAAACATTAATTTCTATTCAAATTCCCAGTAGAGATTTAAACAATATAAACAAACACTTATATTAGTTTTAGATGGCAACTTTATGTCTACATAAACGTGCGGACACAGTCGAACTACTTATAGTGCACAAACAAGGTATATTCGTTATACGCGTTGAACAAATTTTCTTTTACTTCTAATATAAACTGATTCCAAAATTTATAATACATTTATAATTTTAATACTATGTTATTGAAATATAATAAAAATTTTATATATTTTGAATTCAAGTTTCACAGAATTAAGAAGTATATTCTTTGGTTCTTTTGTTGTTTTTCTTTCTTTAATTTTTTTTTAATAAAAATAATCCTTGGCTAAGTACAATTACCTTTTATTTAATAAAATATACATAAAAAAAAGAAATATTTAATTAATGTTTAACAGTAAAAACAAAAACTTTAAACTAAAAATAGAACCTTATTACGTTCTCTTCTCCAGAGTTTCGATTAATATTCATGAAAATAGTCCGGATTTTCAAGTAAAATGATTTTTTTTTTTCATTTTTCTGTTTTAAGATTACATGTCCATTTTGATAAGCTTGAGATAAGGTCATAAAAAAACTAGTTTAAATTATGATTTTTAAAAGTAAGTAATTTTATTTAAAATATATTTTATTTAAAATATATTAATTATTAAGTAAAAAGTTTAAATTCAAATATAACATCGAATAACAATCACTTATAGTTTCAATGAATTTAAACTATAAATGAATTATTTAAAATATCAGTGAATTTAAAATTATTCAAATATAATTTTAAAGTCTGAACATTGTCAAATGATTCCTTTATTTGTAATCAAGAATTGTCAAAAAGTATTCTTTAAGGTGAGTATTAAAAACTTAACTCAATAAAATACAATCGATTGTAATCGATTAATAATGCTCATTTTTGATATATTTACATTTAGTTGTACATTAAATTTTATAACGGAAATTTTGTTTTTCACACATGAAATGTTTTTTTTTAATAAATAAAATTTTTGTTCACGTTTTTACAAAATAAATAATTAATATTTTTATATTCTAATAAAATTAATTAGCATACATGAAAGAAAATTTGAATTTGAATGAAAAATCTGGAACGAAACTTTTAATGGGCAAGCCTACTATATGCAAATATAAACAAAATAACATGGCGACTTAATTAATATTATTTAGAATTTTTTTTTTTTAAAGATTACTATTATGATTAATTAGATAAAAGTTAATTATTGTATGTTTTCTTTTCTCTTAATTTTCATTTGTTTTTTTTCTTTCTTCGTCCCTTTATAAGAAATTTACTATGAACAACAGGTGAAAAGTTGTTAATCACGTTCGTTAGTTAATCACGTTTTGCTTGTACACTAAATTTTTTTTTATATTTACACTTAATAATTATTGTAGCGTTGAAGAAAATAAGAAGTAATATAAAAATGAAAATTATTTCATAATGTTATTTAAATATTTTGAGCTTATTTCTAAAGAGAGTAACAAAAAGTAAGGACCTTATCTCTTCATAAATGCTTATTTAATACTTATAAGATATTGAGGTTATGTAGTTTCATTACAATTAAGTATATTTTAAAAAAAAATATAGTTTAGTATGAATTATTTTACCTCCAGTTCCAAGCACTTTAATTGTCTCAAAATGTGAGCAATCAACACGATCTTCTGGTAATAAGTGACCTAAAAAGAGATTAAAAAAAAAATAAAAATTATTTAAATAATACATTATTTTTAAAAATTAAAAATAATTTTATAATATTTGAATTGATTATTTTAATCAATCTAATAAAATTGTATATTCTTATGAGAATTTTACGAGATATGCATATTTTCTTGAATTCTCTTTATATTTTAATTCTAGTAGAGAAAAATTAAATTTTTAATAAATTAAAAAATTTTGAAAAATTTAATTATTTTTCAAGTTGATTTTTGTTTTTCTTAATTTTCAACAAAAGAATTTTTTCATAAATTTTTAAAACCACCAGTGTTACCAACACTGTTGATGATAAATTTTTAATCAAATTAATAAATCTCCAAGTTTTCAATACCCACTCTGAAATATTATAAGTAGGCACCATACATTAGATATATTCAAAATTTAAAATACAAGAAAATTAAAAGAAAAATAATAAAAACAAGAAAAGGTTATCGAAATATTTTATTGTTTTTGTTTTAATTTTTAAATACGTCTTAAATTTATAATTGTACTCAGCTGTAGAGTACATTCATTGCATGTACAAAATTTTCTCAAGTATTTGAAAGGTGAGTAGAAATAAAAATTGTGAAAGTCCTTGAATATTGTAAACAAACCTTTTTTTATTGCCTGTTTTTTTTTTATTACGATAAGTTTTTAATATTTTTTTCTTGTTTTTGTTTAATACGTACTTAATAATAAAAATGATAAATGACTATAAATAAACGGGGTAATTAGTTGTATTTTTTTTTATTTTTTAAATAAAAATTGTTAAAATTAAAGAAGCTAAAAAAAAATCGAAAAGCTATGAGGGTTGTACACAATTAAAATTAAATTAATATACTTTGCTCTCTAGACAAAAAAAAACGATTAAGAACGATAAATTGTTTATCGAATTGGAAGAATATTTTATGACTCCAATATTTATGAAGAATATTGATGAATGGTGGAGGGAGGGGGGCGAAAATTATTTTAATCAAGTGTTCACTCCTAACAGTAGAAGTATTTTTTCAAAAGAATGCATGAATTTTACATATATTAAACGACAAACATCAATCTAATGTCTAATAATTAGGTTTCAGTCGGTTATCATTATTGTTAAACTCAGTTGAATTTTATAAAATATGGGTTCAAATTATTAATAATGAAATGGAAACTTAAATATTAAGTAATTGCAAAATTGAAATTTTTTCCTTTTAATTTAAGAGAATACAAGCCCATCAAACCATATTTATCAGTCAACCAAAGCGTATACGAGAATACTAGAGCAAGATTCCAATATGAATAATTATTACAACCCCAATATCACTTGCACTCAAATTATGAAATTTAATTAAAATCCCTAGAAGTATTTAAGTAGGAAATTTTTTGAAATGATCCAAAATTTGACATTTATCTGATGTTGAATTTCTGCATTAGACTTTCAATGTCAGTAACATTTAAAATTTCTTATTAACATATTAAAAAAATTTAATTTTTATAAACTTTCAAAGTTGTTGAATCTTCAACTCAATAAATTAATTCTAAAATGCTTACTTTACAAGTTTTCAATTTAAATATTCACATAGTATAATTAAATTTCCCAACAAATACTGTTTTTAAGTGTTTAACTGTAAGTACGTATTAGAACCATTTAATTAAAAAAATGTCATACGTATAACTACATATAAGGCTCTCTTCTCTTTATGTAGTTTTTTTAAATAAGTGTTGTATGTAGTAGACAAAGCATATTATGTCCTAGTACATATTTTTAATTATATAATAAAAACTTATATACCTATTAATTGAAAATTATCACAAAAAAAAAAACAAACAAGTATATTATTATGATAGTACTTAAAATAAATTAAATAATTATAAGTTACCATAAAGAGTTATTTTGTTAAAAAAAAGGCCAACCAAATATAAAAACCAAATACTACGAAAATATAAATTTTTTTATTCTTCTATACTATAATTTTATAAAATATAAATTCTTCTTAATTAAAGACAAAAACAAAAGCAGAAAAATCAATAAAATATGTTAGTATATACACCTAGTTAAATAAAAAAGTTAATATAGCTTAAATATCAAAAAAAAAAAAATACAATACACACATATACATAATACGAACATACATATGTATGTAAGAATGTATGTATATAAAATGATTTTGTGGTCTGAAAGCATTAATTGTAACTCTTCCATTCTATGATTATTGTTTATTATCATTTCTGATATTCCTTATGATTTTACCTTTCATTTATTATTTTTTTTTTTTTTTTTTGAAATTTTTGCAGAAGTCTCAAAATTATAATTTTATTTTTTTACAAGGATTGTCATTAATTTTATTAAAATATATAATATGTATGTTCATACATATCTGTGACAGCAAGGCAAAATTGTCTAAGTCGAAATGAATATTTTTAAATAAACAAATCCAGATTAAAGTTTCAAAGCTGCTTTTTTTTGGGAAAAAAATCGCACGACTTTTAGTAGTTGTAGTAGTAAGAGAAGACCATGCACTAGGCCAACAGAAAAACTCCATCGGCAACCCCCATGCAATCCAACCCACCAGACCCCCTATCCAAACCAGCCAACCTCCCTGGTGAAGCCCAAAGACATATTTTCGCTTCCACATTAAAAACGGAGAATGCTCTACATCCTCCAGCTCCGCCACGTCCCGACATACATCGTCTCTTAAATAAAACCGAGTTTTACTTAACAATTTAATTCCCTGCTTGGTTAAGAATTTTTGCCTATTTTTTTTTTTTTTAATTATAACATATTTTCATTTTGCGGTTTCCATAAGAATTTAATCAGTAAAATTTTTCAACTATTTTTTTTCTTATTTTAATTTCTTTAAAGTGTCTTCTAGATTTTGCCAGATTACGGTATTTAATTCACAGAATTCAAATATTCTAATACCTATATCAATTTTGAAAAAAATCGACTTAGATGGTTTTTCATTACGGTCACAGACTTGTGAAATTTATACATTATAATACCTTGTATCCCATATACATATACAAATGTACATATGTGCTTATGTGCCTAAATTTATTCTTTTATAAAAAAACACAATATTTTTATTATAGAAATTAAAAATAGTGACAGAAAAAGTTTCAAAAAAAGTCTAAAATTATTAAGTCCGTCTTACGTATAATGAAAAACGATTTTTGAAATTGTAGATTGCATGCAAGACGTCCACTTAACATACATGCATAATTCTTTGTGTATAGACGCAATTATACGCAGACTGTATTTGACAGGTTTAAAAAGTAATAACAAAAAAATTACATAAATAAATTAGATTTCGTCAAATTTGAAAATCTAAACTCAGATTAAAAAAAAATTAAAAAGTATTATAGAAGATTTTTGAAATATAATCAGACTAGTATTGTAAAATTGTTATTAATATATATATACATATGTACATTGTATGTATATCAACCGAACAAAAACAACAATTTATAATGCCAATCAAATAGCAATCTACTTTCATTCTTATACATACACATATATACAAAAATTGAAATGAAAAATAATAATGACAACTCTCTATTATCTTTACATACATATGTACATAATTATTACATTTTTATTCAATATAGAATTGAATATTTCATGATTAAAGTTTCTACGACGATACTTTGTAGTTTTCATAATATTGAAGACCCATATGTAAGACCATTATATTTACGGGTTATTTTGAAATTGAAAATTGAAAAACTAATATTGAGTAATAAATTGTCTTTTCTAAATTTTTTATATTTAATAAAGAATTTCTAAATCCACACTAGGTCTTAAATAAAAATTTATTGAATTAAGTCAGTCCTTTATTGCATTCCTTCTTAACTTTTATTTAAATTAAATGAAATCAAAAGTTAAGCCCTACACACATTTATTCTCCCTTTTATTATTTTGCATTTTATTAAATTTTTTCTAACTTTTTTTAAATTTTCAATTTACCTACTTATCACGTATTTTTTCTTGATTTTCTGCTTCTATGCTTTTTAGAAAACTTTTATTTTTTAATACAGAAACTTTGTTTTTTTAACATTTTATATGCGTCTGTATGTGAGTAGGTTTGTATGTATGTTGAATTCAATGGTTTTATTTTCTTTTTTGGCTAACGAATAAATGACGCTCATATCATAAATCCGTTCATTTCCATTTCTCTTTCTTTATTATCTACGAAAAAAAAACAAATTCGAATGTTTTTTTTTTTTTTTTCTGTTTTATCTAAAAACAGCCTTAACATAATTTTGTTTTTACATTTTATACAAACACACATATAATTTTACTATAAGTATGTATGCGTACATGTAATACGTACGGTACGGATTATAAAATAAAAATGAATAAGCAAAGAAAGCAATAACAAGAAACAAAGAAATTTTTTATTATAAAAATAAAATTAAAGTTTTTCTTTTACACGTTTTCATTTCTCTTCAAATATTCGAAATTTTCTTAAATTGGAAAAGTAGGTTAAAAACAGACAGACGAAGTCTTCATTTTCAATTTTTCTTTTTATTATTTTCTTATGTTGTTTTTACATACCTACATATTTATTTATAGCACACGAATATGTTATAATGTTATATTATGTGTCATACATTTGTATGCATACTTATTTAGGTATGTTGTATAATTTCATTTTTGGTTGTGTTGTCATTGAAGACAACAAAATGTTAAAGAAAACAAAAGCACTCTTTAAAATTGTGCAGTTGTTGTTAATAGTAAGGTGTGGAGAAAAACATTTGGAACATAGTGAACTAATTTTGGAGAAAAATGAAGGATATATTAAATTTTATTAAATTAGGATTCAAGAATATTGCCAATTTCTTTTAATTGCCAATTAAATCTAATGTCGTCATTTAGTTGTCAAAACAAAGTAAGAAAGTAACAAAGCCGCATTTGCGTTTATAAGCTAGCAGAGAAAAATCTCTCAATAAAAGGTAGGGGTACTTCGATTTCTTATTAAAAAACATTTGGAAAATTTAA